TGACGGCTTTCAAGTCATACAGGATAACATGACTCATATCTGATCTTACATCAGCAACACTCAACATACGACATTATATCTGATTTTTGCAATGTCATGAAGAGGGAACAAAGAAGGCACGCAAATGGAATAGAAGAAGGAAGCACAAGACATTATGGGGAAACAAAAAGGGCTTATCTAGCCCTTGTTTGAGACCATTTTTTGGGGTACACGTGTTTTAGAATAGTGATTTTTTTTAATTTTTTTTTTTTTGGCGAATGTATAGTTAAAAAATAGGAAAAAGTTTCGGATTTACATATAAAATTATTTTATGGAAGAATGTACAGTTGTAAATGAGTTTTAGACAAATGAGTTTTGAGGAAAATAGGGGTCAAAGAAAAGCCTAATATCATAACAAGGCAACATGCATTGCTTACTGAGCTTTGTAGTGGGATTCTCTCTCTTCTAAAGCGACTATTTCAGAACGAAGAGATTCTACCTCCACAGCACTTAATACAACCTGCAAGTCGACAGTTTTTGTTGCATAACTGAGACCATACTCTCAAACAATAAGATACAGCAAATTATTATATCGACCTTTTCCTGACCATCTGCACCTGATCCCCAAGAAAGCCTCTTTAGACTAAACAGGTTCAACATGGATGCAGCACTTTTTAATTTTCTTCGAGCCCAACTATTGGACCTATACTGAAACAAATGTGACTACAATTAATTTTAACCATATTTTATTTTTCTTTTCATTTACATCCCAAGAAGATATACCTCAAATCGCTATTAGTTGTTATATCTGTGACAGCTGATGTTGGACTTGGAAGAGAGTTTGCAGTGGAGGTTGAAGATGAAAAATGGTCAGAAATCACCTTCACTCCTCGAGGACCATCACCCATGAAAATCCCAACTCCACTCGAAAGAACCTATAACCAAAATAAACAACATTGAAATTCACAAGCTGACAAGCATAATATGTTCCAACAACATTGGAAGTTTCAGTACCGACATAGGGAACATGTACCTTCTATTAAAATCAATCATTAGCAAATATCTGGAAGTCGTCATTATCAAGTATCAAGGGCTAAATTTGAGGACAATCGGAGATATTTTAGGTTTAAAAGAGGATATGTATTCAAGTGGCAGACACAAGTTTCATCCTCAATCTGAGTTCAAATCTAGGATCCCTTTAGAGGGTCGCTGAGGCATGACATAAATCATCAGTGGAAGTGTGTATGAATTAAATTTACAACTGATTAGAGAATAGTTATATTTATCAGCCAAATTCAGCAACTCATATATCATTATGAGTTATATTTACCAACTGAATTTAGCATCCCTGGTAAACAAATAAATGAGTTTAACATGTGACTGAAGAATTCAATTACTAAATGTATTTCTCTGTAATCTAAAATGTAAAGCATATCTCAATCAAGAAACTTACTAGACTATCAAACTACTATTATACCCACATAAATCCGGCCATGAATAAATAATCTATCAAATTATCCTATGTTAATTGCCAAAAATATTCTTAATTTCGTGCTAAATTAATATTAGAAAAATCTTGTGATACGAACACAGTCCTGGCACCAGTCTTCAGCTAAATAAATTCATTAAACGACTCAATATTTACACGATCTTGACAAAATCCTCAATAACCCTTTTCAAATATTGGTAAATTAAGATTATTTTTATTGCCACACATAATATTCCCAACAAGAAAGCTTAAATTCTTGATACAACTACGGCGAGTATTAAACTACACATAAGTGAAGAATTTAAATATAAAGCCCACAACAAAAACAAACTTTAACTACTAATTAACGAAGAAAATTGCACCTGTATTGCTGATGAATTTGCATAGAGTGGTCGTTTATAAAAAATGAAAAGCTTTGATCATTGATGATAGACTTGTTCGAAGAATATTTTACTTTTGTTTTGGGAGTGGATTGAGTTTGTTTACGATAATACCCCTTATTTTATAAAACGTGGGCTTCTTGCTTAGCTGCTCAGTATGGTAATTCAACTATATCGTCCGCCCCAACTGACAGATTATAAATCGTAATGATCATGAGCATGGTTGGGTTATCCTAGATGTACATGAAAGAATATAAGGATGTTCATAAGGGGTTAGGTACCCCCAGAATAATTCGAGGATGGTTGGAAGTGTCTTTAAATTTGAATCATGCTATATGTATTATTTATTTTTATTTTTTTTTCTCAATTATTTTACATATAACACTTGACAAAATATCATTAAAAATGGAATAATTGCAACAAAGACTCCAAACCTTCTAAACTTTAGCAAACATTTTTCAAACCTTTAATTTGTTGCAACCGTCACCCTTATCCTTTCCAAACGTTACATGTGAAGTCCTAATGGATGGAAAACATCAAATTTACTGTTATTTGACCAAAAAATTGAGTTTGATCACATTTTCAATATTCTTATAAACGGCAAAATTGTAACTTCCTATTTACTAAATTCAATAATTACATAATTAATTAATTAATTAAATTAAATAATGAAAAAAAAACCTATATTTTCTTCCCCAACCAGTTCTAGTCCTGACCAATCTTTTCCAAACACCCATTTTCGCTACCTCCTCAGTTGCAGTCGTCGTTGTCGAGGTCCTCGGCGAAGATGTTTCCGATGAAGCTCCGATCAAGGGCCTTTTGTCCACACATATCTTCCTTCTTGAGCGCCTCTTTTTCTCCCCCTACCTCCTACAACGGCGACCAAAACCCTAACCCCAAGCTCCAGCTCTTTCTCCTCCTCTATCTATCATGGCCTTCTTCATGAATGGGATTTTCAAGAAATTTTTTGGGCTCACAAAAAATTTGTCCATGAGCACAGTAAAGACTCCAGAATCTAAATTAAATATCTACAATCAAAATTGGGGACTAAACAAAACCAAACATGAAACTCAAATTAGCCTTGTTCAAACTCAGATCAACTAAAAGCGAATATATCCTGGCCTTACTGCAATGGGAACAACTTCAACCTCTTCACCAAGTTCAGTTGATCATTCAGATGTATTGTTTGTTTTGATTTGGCTGTTAGTGCACATAATTACATAATTAATTGAATACACTGGGATGGAGGTGGTGGTTGGGTGGACTTTGAGCTTGAGGTGGAGATGGGTGAAGGGCGAGGAAGAAATAGACTGTGTGTGTGTGTTTTTTTTTTTTTTTATCTTTTTTTTAATTAATTAATGTGATAAAAATAGAAAGTGACCTTTTTACCTATTTTTAAAATATTAGAAATGTGGTCAAAGTTAAAATTTTGGTCAACTAATGGAATTATGGACGAAAACTGTCCAAAATGGCTTCACCCACAACGTTTGGAAATGTTATGGGTGACTATGCAACAAATCAAAAGTTTGCGAAAGGTCTGTTAATGTTTAAATGCACTTATTCCTTAAAAAAAGAAAAAATAGACCGATAGGATGGTGGTAGGAAACCTGTGAAACTTTAAAATTTAAATAATTATAAGTTTTGGAATTGCAAGTTTGTATCTTAAAATTCGTGAATAAAAAGTAAAGTAAATTTAGAGCCTATTTGACAATTGTTATTATAGAAACTAGTTTGGGTATCGTGCGTTGCACAAATTTTGTATTTATTTTGATTTTATTAGCGTAAAATTTATAGATTATACAAAAAAAATTTGGAAATAAGAAATATTTGTTTGATTCTTATCTTTTGGTCGACTGTATATTTTATGTCACGATAATTTATTTTTATTCTTATAAATAAGTATAATGAATGTTGTGATTGTATATATGTCAACGATAATTTATTTTTAATTATTTATTGTATTTTTTTGTTTCATGTAGATGAAGATTTTTTTATCTGATATTGCAAATAAGTTGTAAATTGAATTTCGCAAAATGCTTTTCTTTAGCAACTTCGAGTCGAGAGGCTATACTTGTAGTTCAAAAATAACTCATGCAGTTGTAAATTGAAAGAGAATATCCACATACACAAACATTTAAATAACAAACTCAGGTTCGCACTTAAAATAACTTGAAGTGGCACTTACTGTATGGCCAACTCCCTTGTTGGTGTAAGAATTAGAATCCTAACAGCAGGTCTATTTATCGAACGATACAACAGTTACTCCAAGGTTGGTAGGGCAAAAGAATTTAAAAACAAAATTAAATAAATTTTATTTGAAAGAGAAAAGAAATAAAAAGAAATTTAAATAAATTGATACAAAAAACCTATTATTTATAAAGTAAGTTTTTCAATTTTAATTTTCAATTATTTTTTACATAGATTCACATTGCCTCTCTTACACTATATATATAATATAATAATATAAGCAAATAAGTTGATTTGAAAAGGCGTGGCCATAGCGTATGAAAATGGCGAACAGAAAAGTACAAAAAAAAAAAATTTGAACGGAGACCACACTATATATAATTTTTTAAAATTATTTTCTCTTCAATTTTTTTAACCTACAAATAACATTCCCTTAAAATTGAAAAATTAAGTTTTATTTGGAAGAGAAAAGAATTAAAAAGAAAAAATAATTGATTTTTTTTAAGGAAAAAAACTCATTTGTTAACACATACGTTTAATTTTCGTTTAACTATTTTCGATATTTATTTAGATCATTCGATATCTCTACGATATAGTTCTCAAAATGAGTTTTGAGAGAATATAAAATATTTATCGATTTGACTATAGTACAATCGTTGATGAATTTTTAAAATTAGTTTGTTATCGAAAATTTCGAAATAGTAATAAAATAATTGATTTTTTAAAGAAAAACGACTTATGCTTATTTTTTAACACATACGTTTAATGCCCGTTTAACTATTTTTTATATCTATTTAGATCATTCGATATCTTTACGATATAGTTCTCAAAATGAGTTTTAAGAAAATGTAAAATATTTATCGATTCGATTATCGTACAATCGTCAATAAATTTTTAAAGTTAGCTTGTTATCGAAAATTTCGAAATATAGTTTGAAAATGTCTACTTTAACGTCCCATAACATTTGCTATGATTGACCGTTTCACATACCGTTAATGACGTGCAATACTATGCCGCGAGTACTTCAAAACGATATTAAGAATGTAATATTTCGACTTCGTTTGATATCCTGTAATGAGTCTGAAAATGAACACAAAAATATATATATATATATTTTTTTTTTATTTTTTTTTTTTTNAAAAATGAAATTTTAAATAATTGAAAAAGATTTACGTCATACTGCATAATTTTTTTGAGCAAAATAATGTATTGAGAAAAATGTTGTGATAAAATAATAAATAGTAATAAAAAATTGATTTTTTTAAGAAAAACGACTTATACTCATTTTTTAACACATACATTTAATGTCTGTTTAACTATTTATTTAGATCATTCGATATCTCTACGATATAGTTCTCAAAATGAGTTTCGAGAGAATGTAAAATATTTATGATTCGTACAATCGTCGACGAATTTTTAAAGTTAACTTGTTGTCGAAAATTTCTAAATAGTAATAAAATAATTGATTTTTTTAAGAAAAAATGACTTATGCGTATTTTTTAACACATACATTTAATGTCCGTTTAACTTTTTTTATTTTTTTAAAATATTTATGTTGTTTACAATATAAATTTTTTTTCAATTTAAAATTATTTTCTCTTAATAATTTCAAACAGAAACTTAGTTTTGATTTGTATTATAAATAAATTTTCTTTTCAACTTAAAATTCTTTTTTAATTTATTTCTCTTTAATTTTTTTACTCACAAGTAACTTTTTACCTCTTATAAATATTTTTTTATCTTATATTATTAGTATTTTTATTTTTTTAATAATTTCAGATAATATTTAATTTTATAGTAATAAAATATATAAAAAAAATTTACTTTAAAATATTTTATTATACTGTAAGAAAATGCTGCAACACGTAATTTCCATACCTCCACTCCATGCTCAACCACTCTTATATAAATATATATAGTAGGGATATAAGAAAAAAATTATTTTTATATAAAAAAATATTTTACAAAAAGTTACTTTTAAGTAAAAAATTTGAAAAGAAAAAAGAATTAAAAAGAATTTTAATTTTTGTTGTTCACATTATAATTTTTTTTTCAATTTATAATTATTTTCTCTTAATAATTTCAAACAGAAACTTAGATTTGAGAATTTTTTTTCTGTGTAGTTTTACATTATAAATAATAGTTTTTTCAATTTAGAATTCTTTTTTATTTTTTTCTTCAAAATTTTTATTATTAATCAGTATTTTTTAATAGTTTGAGATAAAATTTAATTTACTAGTAATAATTTAATATATAAAATAATGAAAAAAAACATATTCACTCCATTCATGGAGAAAAATTTTTTGTCATACCGCATAATTTTTTGAGCAAAATAATGTATTGAAAAAATTGTTGCGAAAAAAGAATAAATAGTAATAAAATAATTGATTTTTTTAAGAAAAACGACGTATACGCATTTTTAACACATACGTTTAATCTCCGTTTAACTATTTTCGATATTTATTTAGATCATCTGATATCTCTACAATATAGTTCTCAAAATGAGTTTCGAGAGAATGTAAAATATTTATCGATTCAAGTATCGTACAATCGTCGACGAATTTTTAAAGTTAGCTTGTTATCGAAAATTTCGAAATAGTAATAAAATAATTGATTTTTTTAGGGAAAAAACGACTTTTACGTATTTTTTAACATATATGTTTAATGTCCGTTTAACTATTTTTGATATCTATTTAGATCATTCGATGTCTCTACGATATAGTTCTCAAAATGAGTTTCAAAAGAATGCAAAATATTTATCAATTCGACTATCGTACAATCATCGATGAATTTTTAAAGTTAGCTTGTTATCGAAAATTTTGAAATATAGTTTGAAAATGCCAACTTTGACGTCCCATAACATTTGCTATGATTGACCATTTCACGCACAGTTAACGACGTACAATACTATGCCGTGAGTTAGGGGTGTAAGCGGTCCGATTTTATTGATTTTTGACAAATTTTCAAACCAAATCGTTTAAAAAGGTTTGAAAAAATCCAAACCCAA